CTCTCCCCCCCGTCGGTTCCTCCGTCTGTGTCTGCCGCCATCAGACGCAGGGACCGATAATATCTGCTCTAACCCCCTCTCCTCCTATTTTTTGCACTCCTCCTCTCCTGCATCTCGCCTATTGTTTATTCACTCTGTGCATTAATGTACTACTGTGCCCTTGTGTTTTATACATGAAAGCCTTCCTTTATCTTCAGGTTTTTTTTTTACCAAGTCCAAAATGCAGTTTGGACTTTGCTTTTTCCTGGGAAGCGAACCTGTAGTTCCTTCTATGTGTATTTTTATTGAGCCACCTCAGTGATTGTTATCTGTATTCAGTTAGTGTCCCAACACGTCACTCTGAGAGAGCCAGCTGCATGCATCCTCCTTGCATTACACTGCAGTAAAGTCTACTGTTTGAATAAGACCCAGCTCACTCCTCCACATCTGTGTGAAGACAAAGCTGCTTGGAGTCAGCTCAGAGTTGTTGTTACAGTTTGAATATTAGCATGTGGCACAGCCATGACTGTGCTGTACCAGTGAAAAAAGCCTGGGAGGAACAAGGACGGGCTCTGTGGAGGGAGGAGCGGTTGTGGAAACTGCCCTGTCATTGGTTGTTGATGTACTCTGCATGCCTGCAAGAGTCTGTATAATTGGCTGGAGCCTTGCATTGAGCACAGCAGCTGCAGTTGTGAAGAACTACCCCCCTCTCTCTCTCTGCCCTGTCTCTCTTTTTCCTACTTCTTCCCTTCACATTAATAACTGTCTGGGAATCATTGGCGTCGACCACACGTGCCAGCCTTTCAAGCGATTTCAAGGACACTGCTTTTCACACTATATCGCAGCTTCATGTCAAGTTAGTCAATTACTTTCTGATCCATGGAGCTCAGGGGAGTTGACGTCTCTGTCCTGACTGCAATCTCCCTCCATCCCATCTCCTCCCCCCTCTCTCTCTCTTTTATCACTTAATCAAGACATAGCTTGCCCTTTCCTGTTCATTGCTGCCTCCCTCCCATATGCTCTGTTCCCTTATTTGTTTGTCCTCGCTTTATTCTCTTTGGCTCTCTGCCTTCCGCCCTCCTGCCTCGTGGTCCTCGTCACCCTCCGTTTAAACAAGCTCTACACGAGGTTGTGGCTTTACATTTTTTTCTCCAACAGACTCCTTCTTGTCAATGCTTTGAATTAATGTTTGCCCTTCTGTTTCTGCAGTCTACGGCACGACAACAAGCAAGGACATGCAGAAGAGAGGTCAGTGAGGAGGATGACAACAGAAGAATAGACAGCGGCGAAGGAGGGATGAGAAAGAGACTGAAATAAGAGGAGGAAGTGGAACTCCAAAGTGCCTACTGCGAGGGGTCGTCTGCTGCTGTCTGACACTGCTGGATGAGAGCAGGACGGGGCTCAGTGTGTGTTCGGCCTTGTATGGAGGCTATATTTTATCTTGACAGCTACAGAGTCATCCATCCCACGTTGCTGAGCTGCAGTCCCAACATACCCTGAGCTAAATCGCCACCTCATCAGCGCAAGGACACCATCCCTATAAGGTTCTGCTTTTTGTTCTTCTATAGAAAATCTTCTTTTTCAGGCTGCTTTAACATAACTAGCACGACAGCGACTGCCTCAGCCTTGGCCATGTTGACGTGAATGTAACAGTTACTCACAGTGGGCGTCAGTCGATTCAGGTGAAGGCACAGGCGCTCGGTGACATATTTAAGCATGCCAGAGTGATGTCTTCAGAGTAGTTTCTGTTTTTTCTTTTCTTTTTTTATTCTTCAAGACAGAGCTGGTCTCTGCTCACGGTCGACCCCCTCTATCTCACCCTAGTGAAACTTCAGCTGCCACTTTTCCCAGGAAGAACTAATAAACATCCCCTAAAATACACCAACCAAAAGGACTCGCTGCCTATTTCAGTTGAGGAAGAAATATTTTTTCTTCTGTTTCCTCTGTGTTTTTCCGGGGACTTTTTCTTGCATCACTATTAGTCACCCTTGCTCTCATCAGACAGTTTTCCGTCCATCTGTCTCGACCGCTGCTCAGTGCTTGTGAGCAACTCCGATGGCTGTCAGCATGACCATGGGACGGGACACCAAATGGCTAACCCTGGAAGTGTGTCGTGAGTTTCAGAGAGGCACCTGCTCGCGGTCTGATGCCGAGTGCAAGTTTGCCCACCCCTCCCGGAGCTGCCATGTGGAGAATGGCCGAGTCATTGCCTGCTTTGACTCTCTCAAGGTAACAATGCAACAGACATTACACACAGCCATCCTTGCCATACTACATTCATTTGTTGAGACACGTGTATTGTGATCTGTGTTAAGGTAAGTGAGGTTTTATTTCACATATCAGATGCCATATATCAGTGACTATTGTTTAGGGTGTTGTCTGCTAACTAAATTGTTCAAGACAGGAGATGCATCAGGATGAATTTCCTGGAAACCTTTCAAACTATGTCAGTTGGTCAGTTGATTCACCTTTTTTAACCCTACATTTATTTCAAGCTATTTTTGTCCCAGAAAATCTAATTTCATATATATATACTTAAGATTATGGTGCTGGAAGTATAGGGAAATGTATCATTATTTTTATTTCCTTGTAATTGTGTTTTGAGTTTTTTTATATCATATGTGAATCATGGTGAACATGTTTGTTGTCTATATAAAGAGTTTAAAGTCAGATTTCTCACAGAATGATAGACTGCTGAAAATAAAATTTTTGTCTTGTCATCATGGAGTCTAAAGCGATCAACTTCAACCAGTAGGCAATGGAAATAAAATGTTTTATCACACACAGGTAATACAGGTAATTAGATTTGTGACATCAATATATATTTATAAATATATATATATATATAGATATCATGATATAGTAAATTTAAAACGTATAGCCTAGTAATGTTAATATAGATGTCCTGTACCACTAGGCCACCACACCATAATGCCCAAGGTACTTTGTTACATTGATTTAAAAGTCCTGTAAATCAGATATTACCATAAAGCAGTCAGGCTCATTCATTTGCAACATTGCCTGCAATGATGTAATACAGCCAGTGCTCAACATCAAGGATGCCCCATTGTCCCAGGGAAAGTAAAAATAGTGTCTGGGAATTTTTTTCTGCCAACAGTCCTCTTATGCTGTGTGTGGGCAGTCAGTAGGTTGGTATGTTGGGCACATTTGACCCACTCTGTCACTCTTCTGCTCTGTATCTCTGGGTTAGGATGTTCCTATAGACTGTATGTAAATACTTTATCTGAGCTTGTAAATATTTAAATAGTTTGTTTATCTTCTCTCTTGTACAATGTCCCTGTATTGTGTTTGTGATTATTTAGCTAAATAATAATAATGTTCAAAATGTTTGTATGTAAATATTCATCGCCATATACTATTCAGAAACAGGTTAAAGTTGCTGTGATGCATTTATAAATCAGTCAGTTAGAAATAAACAAGAAACAATAAATTAACCAGTGACTGAAAGAATAATTACTGATTGAACACTGATTGTGGTCAGACATCAAGAGTGATTTAATTGTTTTTATTCAGATATGATTGCAGGGAAGTCAATGAAGTTATGTGAGATACTGAAACAAAGTTATTAAACTATATTCATTATGTAGAATGAAAGAAATGTTTGGGACAATGGTTGTTAAGTCTGGGACAGTTGAAAGTGAATATAACTAGATGTATTAAAGAGAAAGTTCCCACAGTATAAATGTATTTGAAAATCTCTGACAGGGTAGATTTTATCTCCTGGTATCTGTATGTTCCATGATTGTAATGGGATGTAATATCCTCCATGGCGTAGCTAACATTATTGCAGAAGTCCCCCTCTTTCCTCTTACTGACTTGCTCTGACATGTTTTATTGGTTACACAAAGAGCTTAATTGATTAATCTTTATCTATACTGTTGCATTCATTTAGAACTGAAATCAAACACCTGCGTCACAGATATTTGGTTATCATGTCTGGTTACTAAATGTTAATCCACACCCTCCAGCCAATCAGAATTGAAGATTTTCAGTGGCCATGGTATAAATCATTATATAGCGCGCCCTAATTTAAACCAACTAAATGTACATATGATTCTTTATACCTAAACATATATAGATAACGTGTAACAATGTCAAAAGATATAGATGTTGTTTCTATTTTGCCCAGGCTGAAATTCTCATAAAAGCCACTTTGCTGACAGTCTGTCTGTCCATCAGTGATGTGAGCTTGTCGGTCGTGCTACTTCCATATCACTGCAGCTGCTCTCCTGACTCTCGTCTTCTCTCTTTCGCCACAGGACCACAACACTAGCTCTGCTCATACACAGCGGAAAAACTAACAGTCTGAGAAGTGATGATGCTTTACTTTATTTTAGAAGAGACTATCAATGGCCAGTTGCGCTAAAATCAAGAACAGACTGCTGCTGTGTTGGTGAGAGCCAGATACGTGTGTTTGCAACCAGCTTTCATGCAGGGAAAAAGTGAGACCCAGACAAGGGGCTTTCTGTCTGAGTGCAGCTGCTGTCTCCTTGTTTATTGAGTTAGAATTTATTATTCAGCCATTTTTCTGTGTTATGTCCTCCAGAGCAGGAGGGAGATGGAGAGAGAGAGCGAGGGAGAGAAACAGAGAGGGGGGCCTAGCAACAGCACAGGAGTGCGTACCCATTGGATAGTTTGATCTTCCTGAGTGGCACGGCTGTTTTTAGCACAGAGCAACAGCCTGGCTCTGTACTGGTTGCATTGATGGGAGAAAGAGGCGAGCTGCTTTGTACCAAGGGCAGGGAACAAGCATTAAAGGCCATATTTGGTTGTTTGAAGCCCCGGGTCATGTTGTTAGTTTGAGAAATAACTGAAGTTGGTGACAGTTGAAGGTCGAAGCCGCTTTCTTTATCAGGAGCTGCAGCAGGGCTTTAGTGCCAGCACAGTATGTCAACAACCACCTCTTTACAACAGTGTTTCTATCCCCATTGTTGTTATACTCAGCTGACGGCTGTTGTTTTTGGTCGACTGACTTGAAAAAACAAAGAAGCACCTCACTCTGTCCCCAACAGTGCCGCTCTACAGCATCACTCCTTCCTCCTGCTCTCCGCCCATCCCCTCCCTTCTTTGTTAATTTTATGGATTTATCTGCTAATGGCCTCCCTCCTCATCATCCCTCCCATATCTGGCATCTCCAGCCCGGTCCGAGCCGAATGCTGTCATTCCCTGTTGCTCCTCCATTAGCTCTGTCTGGTCGGTCTGAACCTGCTGCAGGGGAGGGAGGGGGCAGCTCACTGCCTAGTTCTTTTTACCTTGTTAACTGGAGTGCTGCTGTCATCTCAAATGATTAGTGTGGACATCACATCTGCCCGACATATAGTAGATTCAACAGCAGTGTCACTTTTGGATGACATCATGGCTGCAACTAACAATTCTTTTCATTATTAATTAATCCGCAGAATACTTTGTTGATTAATTGGTTCGATTTTTGGTCCAAACAACAATTCTAAACCCAAAGATACTCAGTTTACTCATATAGGACGAGAAAAAACAGGAAATCTTTGCATTTCAGAGGCTGGAACTAGTACATTTTCGGGGGATTTTTTCATTAATTAGACTAAGAGTGATACATGCCAGCAGCTCCGTGAGGCTGTGCTTTGGTGCAGCGTGTTAGCATTAACACATTAGCACTACACATGAGGTACATATCAGGATGATAAGACTATAATTTTTTTGCAGATATTTGGTCATAAACCAAGTATTGAACAAACTGAAATTTTGACCTGATGACACACTACATTAATAGTCAGAGGATCATCAAAGTGATTATGGTTTATCGTCTGAGCACCATGGATATATGTACCACATTTCATGCCAATCCATCCAATAGTTGCTGAGATATTTTTCTAAAAACCCAAACTCTCAGAAGAAAGAAGAAAAACATCAAGTTTGTCTCATACTGACATAATACAGCTCCAAGGATGTGTAGCAGTTCAGATCTGTGCAGTCTATTTATCGATGTCCCATCTCTCTCTTCTTTCTCTGAATGCATCAACAGCACACTACTGTACTAACAGGGACTTTCTCTGTGTTGCGTAGTGTGTTGCCATGGCTACCAAAAGGAGATTCCTGACCCAATACTCTCCTCAACAATACTTTTCATTGGCCTGCTTCTCTACACCAGATGTTATAGCCTTTATAAAGTTTTTTTTTGTGTAAATGTTAATGCTACTAGAATAAAGAAATTCCAGACAGTAATTTGGTCCAACTTGGTCCAAAATGTATACAGTATATCATTAGGCTCATAAATAGGTAGTTGTCTGTCCTTCTGAATTTGAGCAGGCTTGCTGGGCTCAAGGGACTCCCTCCTCATTACAGACTCATCCCTAAACACACAGCGCGCTGACGCAAAGCTTGCTCGCATCTCCAGTGTAGGCGAAAGTGTTTGTGTATTCCTGTGAACCATCCTGGCCATTTTTCATGCTGCTACATGTCTGCTTGTATGCATTTTGTCTGGTGTGTGTGGTTGTGTGAATCCCTCCTGGATGCTGCTATAGGAGACACTGCGTTTACCTCCTGTCCTATATAGCTCTCCTGCTGTGAAACCCTTTTTTATGTGTCCTCTTCTCAGCATGATATCATCCATCACCGTCAGAGTCTCTGCACCATGACGTCAGTTTTTTTATCTTCTGTTGCTTTAGTGCTCCGTTGGTCGTAGCTTTATGATCACCTAATGAGAACTGTGTTTTGCGGGTGTGGTTTGATGACAGAGCATGGGGCTGAGGCTTCGTGGACGTAGTTTAGCGAGTTAACAGCTCATCTGCAGGGGCAGACAGCTGCTGTCGGCCCAGGAGTTTAATGGAGACTGCAGTTTTTCCTCTGAGATTGTGTTGACCTGCAGTGTTCCTGCAGCACCATCTTCACCTTCCTCACAGGCTCTGGCAAGGAGCAAGGACACTGCTTTAATGACATTCTGGGGCAAAATGAATTGCTTTAAGATAAATGGTTCTAAATCTGATTTAGGGTTTGTCAAGAAGCCAAAAATGACAAGTAAAAATGAGCATAAAGAATGACTTGTTCTGATCTGAAAATGGTTTGTGGCAGGGGGTGCTGAATAAAAATAAGCCTCAGCTGACTAAAATACAGAATAAAACACAGAATATTTTGGATCCATAGTTTCACTTTGAAAGTAAAATATAGTATTAACCACAAGCAATACTGACATTTTTAGGGAAAGTCAGAGAGTTATAGACTACAACAGCAGTTCAATGTTCAAAAACCTGTCGACTTTGCTTACACAAACTGTCTGCCCACCATTGTTTAAGCCTGCATGTGATGAATGAAGCTTTGCATACAGGACAAATAGAGGCACTTTGACTATGCACATAAGCCCAACATTAGAATACTGGCTGCTCAGCCAACATGTCGCATGCTGCATTTGTTAAAGAATAGCCATGAATAGTCCTCCTCCTTCTTTCATTTAATACTGTTTAACACAGTCATGTTACAGCATGTGTTTTTAGTAATTCATTGTAGTTATTGGGACACATTTGTCTAATAGAAAAGTACAACACTTGTTCTTGTGTGATGTATTCATAAAAGCTGTCATTTACTTGAGTGGAGTCAAGCCTAATAAAGATCATGAACATATGATGAGCTTGTAAAATATGTTGTGGTATTGTATATTTAACTACACTACAGTATGTGAAATAGCTTAACCCCACCTTAAATACAGTAAACAGTAGAGTGCTACCTATATCTAATCTAATAATAATATATGGATTTGTTTAACAGACACAGGGATCATTTCTCTGCATTGGGTACTTTTACTTTTGATACTGGAGTACATTTTACTGATAATACATACTTTTTTTATTAAATAACTATTTAAATGTAGAACTTTTACTTAACAAAGTATATTCTAACATTTTGGTATTGCTAATTTTTGGATCTGAATACTTCCACCACCAGACAGTATTATGCATGTTTGTAGAGGTTTTTAGTACAAATGCAGGTAAAAAAAAGTTATGTTATCTTTTCAGGCTTGCTGATAAAGTTGTTGGGTTTTTTTGCAAATAAATACAATAAAATGTCGTAATATTACAAAGAAAGTAAACTCACTGGTCTGTATTCTCATCTAATCTAATTTTAGCTCCTCTCTGAATAAAACAACTTATACCATATTATAAGTTATTATTATTAAAATATTTGTTTTTCCTCTTTCTGGAAAGTAGCCTGTTTATTGGACTGATAACCACCAGGTAGAGATACAGAATCTGTCGTACTGGCCGGTGAGAGTCGAGCATATGTTCTCACTCTCCAGTTTTATCTCTTGTCAGCAAGGTTTATTTAACTTCTGCTGTGCCTCTGTGGAAAAATCCAAAGCTGCCTCCATTACTTAACCTGTCATTTTACATTGCTTTAAAAAAATGTCTTGTTCATGGTTCAAAATGAAAAGACGAAAAGTAGTTTGAATGTAGCTCAATGACCAAATAATTTGCTTGTAGAAAGAAGAAATGACTTGAATGGCTGCCAATTAAATGTCTACATTGCTGTTTTCAGCTCAGATTTTTAATGATGAGCATTTTGAGAAAGTGGTTGTACATTTCTTATGAATTATCCAAGATGCCGTCTTCTGGGACTTCATTAGTACTTTATTTCACCAGGATTTTCTAGTTCTGACATGCTTGGTTCTTGTTGTTTAGTTTAAGAAATTGTACTTGATTACATGGACGAGTTCAACGAAACGTAGATCATTTGCTGCAGTAAGCTTTTTATCTTCGGTGTTGGATGGTTCGGTGGTCTTTGTCACAGCCCTGATTTATTTAGTGTCTCAATCACACTATTCTCATCTGCCTGACGTTTTCTCCCTTAATTAAGAGTCACTGTAAAGTGTCACCCTGTCTGCCTGTTCTTATCTTTCCCCCCTCCTCTCTCCTACTCAGGGGCGCTGCACACGTGAGAACTGCAAATACCTGCACCCACCTCCGCACCTGAAAACCCAGCTGGAGATTAACGGGAGGAACAACCTGATCCAGCAGAAGGCTGCGGCAGCCATGTTGGCTCAACAGATGCAGTTCATGCTGCCTGGAGCACAGTTGCAGCCCATAGTGAGCAGCCCACACTGAAACTACACATTTTCAATTAATGCAGTGTGTTTGAAGAAATGTAATTTATTTATCAAAATACTAACCCTGCACTCTGTGTACTGTGAGTGATGTTCTGGTCAGTAACAGGGTGGCAGTTAATCTTTAAATTACAGTTACAGTTTTCCCAATTTCTGTCCTCCATCAAAGATTAAATAGGGAATAAATATGGATAGGATATGGGTTCACAATTTTATTCATGCTTTGGTTCATGAAGTTATCAAATAAACTTATTATTTATTACTATGGTATTTCTCAGGTGAAATGAGGTTTTGTCATTTGCAGCCTATTAATAGGTTATATAAGCGTTCAATAAGTTGTATACCACAATATTGATCATCAAATCCCTCTTAAAGTGATAACAACGATTTTATTCCCCACTGTCGTTGTGATGTGGATTTTTAAAACAATATATTGTTATTGTTATCTTTCTTGATGGGGACGGCTCTTAAGTCTTATTCAACATTTAAAAGGAAATGTGACATGCATAATGTTTTATATATTGTATTGTATTGTATGTAAATTCTATTTTTTATATTTAAAGTAATAGCATAGCTATAGATAACTGCATTGTTCTCACTGCTGTAAAAAAACAACAACAACACAGTTCTTGTTATGTTACCACCAAATCCTGTCCTTAAGCCAGAGAAAGCTCTGCTATAACTTCTTTTGTCTGTCTTGTCTCTGCCGTTCTCTCCCTCCCTCAGACAACATTCCCAATGACGCCCTCCCTGGCAACGAGTCCCAGTATGGCATTCAGTCCATATCTGAGCCACATGGGCCCAGGCATGGGCTTGATGCCTGAGCTGCTGCCCAGTACTCCCCTGCTGGTCCCTGGGAGTCCCACAGGCCTGACAGCCATGGGCAACGGCACCTCCGCACAAAAACATGTCCGCACAGACAAGCTCGAGGTATGCGGCCTGTGTGCAGTTGTTGTGTTTCTATGTTTGGCCTAAGTATGATGAAAGGTGAATGTTGATCAGTGCTCCTGTTGACCCTGCAAGGTTTGTCGAGAATTCCAGCGCGGTAACTGCACGAGGGGTGAGAGCGACTGCCGCTACGCTCACCCCCTGGAGGCTGGCATGGTGGACTGCAGCGAGAACTCGGTCATTGTCTGCATGGACTACATTAAAGGCCGCTGCAGCCGAGACAAGTGCAAGTACTTCCATCCCCCGGCTCACCTGCAGGCCAGGATCAAGGCCGCACAGCACCAAGCCAGTCAAAACACAGCGTCCGCAGCCTTGGTGAGTCCTTCTCAACACTGTGACAGGGACTAATGTTGAGAAGTATTTGTTCTTTTTTACCAAAAATAAATGTTGGCCAACATCAACTGCCTTTCTGTGATTCAGTGAACTGTTGGATAGAAAAATCACAGATGTAAGCCAATACTCACCTTCTTAAAAGTTACAAATCAACATTCACCATATCTATTTAATAGCAGTGACACAGCAGAAGACTTTCTTGTTCTCTACTTGGATATTGTTTACTGATGCAATGAAGGATCAGGGTATCACAGTATCCGGCAGGCAGCCTGAAATTTGATAATGTAGTCTGGGGATTATGTTTTTTATGAATGTCTGCTACTGTGCATGTGTCTGAGCCTGTACTCTCAGTGAAGCAAGCTACAAAGGCTAAAGTTAGCAATTTTAAGCAGCTGTAACATAATCAGGTCAATCTGCAGAGCTGATGCAGAAAAACAAGAATGACAATGTTGAAAAAAGATACAAAATAGTAAAATGAAAGGGATTAGAAACATAATGCATCCAAGGTTTATACACTTTTTTTGTTGTTGTGGCTTCTAGTGCTTTATGCTGCTGAATGAGTGTATTGATGTTGTTACAACAGTCCGTATTGTCATCAACGGTTCATATTTTACCTGATTTGATATTAAATCAGGATTTTTTTTAAAAAGATAAAAACTACATATTATGACGGCTTGGCATCATGTCCTAAAATGTTGTATGTGTTTGTATTCATCTGTTAACTGTATTTCCCTGTTATCTTGGTTATCTTTTACTGCAGTTAGATGTTTCAGTACCAGCCCCATTAGTGAATGAAATCATAACAATCCCATTTTGCTCTTGGCCTGACCTCTGGGCTGTCCTATATTACTTCAACTAATCTTACATACTGCAGTGTCCTCTTGTGGTGGTAAATAGAAACATCCGTTAACTGGATGTCGATTAGATTCACAAGTCAGTCTCTAAACACTCAATTGTTGGCTTTTGTTGCTAAAACTGGGTGGAAACAATTAGAGAGTTTAAAAAAAGCTGCAACGCAGAACCAATCCAAGGTCTTTAGGGCAGTAACGTGTGGAAGTTGTGTGTTTGTAAACACTGTCCTACCATTTAACGTTGCTCATTCATTTTCAATGTGTTACAAAGTGATTTGCTATATCTCCATTTTGTTTCACTATGGAGGAGAATGGAAGAGCATTGTTTCAGATAAGAAATGTCCTTAAAGTGAGGGTGAACATTTGTTAGCAGCCGTTCTCGCCACCCTTCAAGCAACTGCTTTGCATTTAGAAATCCCCAGACATTTGGTAGGCGCTGAGATCTCCAATCGTCCGGTTTAAGACTAGATGTTGATGCATTTACAGAGATGAGGATATTTTTTGTGTGTAGATATACTGCAAGGAAAAGTCTTGTTTTAGCCCACAAATTAAGATAACGTCTCTCCTCCTTCCTCTGGTTTTCTTCCTGACCAGGCTCTGCCTCCAGGTGCCATGCAGCAGTTACCAAAGAGGCCGATGTTAGAGAAGAGCAACGGAGCTGCTGCCACTGTCTTCAACCCCAGCATGTTCCACTACCAGCAAGCCCTGGCTAACATGCAGCTCCAGCAACCAGCCTTCATCCCTACTGGTGAGTCTCTACACACACTAGTGTTTACCTAACCATACACCTAGGAGGTAAAGTGGAACCACGAATTGGAAATTGATTCTGGGCAGATAAATGCAAGGAATTTTTATGTTAAACAACAAGGTAATGTTAAACAGGGAGTTACAGGTGTAGTAATAACAGTATGCATGCTGTGTCAGTGCAAGCCTTCTCAACAGTGTATATGCTTGACTTTACCCCTTCTATCACGCCACACTACCCTTCCTTGTGTTGCTTGCATTTGCTTCACTCTTGCCTGATGTGTGGTGAGAGTTGTTGATGCCATAAACAAACTTAGAGAATGCATTGCAGTTCAGTCCAAACAAAAACCAGACAATAAACACATCACAATGTCATTGTGTGGAACTGCTGGTGCATGGATTGGCGGGCGCATGTACTCTTTTGGCCTATCGGATCTTGTAAATCTTAAAAATCCTAATATTTAAAAAGCACAAAAAGCTTAGAAGAGGCAGATAATAGAAGAGAGCAGCGTTAACACAGAAAGTGAGACAGAGCAAAGGACAACACCAGTCCTAATACTCCTATCCATATTTAAGGCCCCATGATATAATTGTAGTTTTCTTCCAATGTTTTATGTGTTTTTGCATTAAACTGGAAGTGTAGTTGTTACTTAACATCAGGAGAAACTCAGTTTGAAGGATTTAATTGGCTGAAAATATACAATTTTGTTAACATATATTTAGCACGGGGCACCGTGGTAACCTAGTAGTACCAAAGCTGAGACCTTGCTGC